ATATTAGAAGCGCAGAATTTGCCTGATCTCTCCAAACTTCCAGATTCACTGCTCATGCAGCTGCAGTAGGACTGTAAATAATTGAGACTAAGGCATGTATGTGCACTTTGCTTTGCTGCAATACACCAAGTTTATATCTTCCCACAAACATTGAAAATTTCCATGCATGTAGTGCAGTCTTAATTATATTCACAGTAATTTGCAATTGAGTTAAGCAACCAGTATAGATTTACAATACATTACACTAAAATTATAAAGTCAACAACAGCTAGGGTGTGTTTTATAGATCTATATACATCCTTCAAAGTTGCACTAGTCCATATTCAAAATGGACCCAGAGGAGAAAGCAAAAATTCTGAATGGTGTCAAGTCCATGCTGAGGGCAGTTCTTCAGAGCAGTAAAGAGGGTGTGGTCGCTGCCAGACTCCCTGGGGAATATCGCGGCATCACAGGGGACCCCCTGCCCTTCAAGAGGCTTGGATATTGTACTGCCGAGGAGTTCCTGAGAACATTGCCTGATGTTGTTAGTGCTCGACAGTAAGTAAGGCCTCATTCACAACAGCAGACTAACTCGTCCGCAGATTTAATATGGCAACCCTCATAAAAGCTTGTCGTCCAATCCCCTAATAAATGCTGAATATGTTTTTTCCTGATGCATTCAAGAGGGTCGGCCATATTTGATCCAAGGACTAGTTAGTCTGCTGTTGTGAATGTGATAGGAAAAGAAAGGTGAGGGATGAAATTGAGGAGGGATGAAATAGGGAAGTGAAATCGATAGGGGAGGGAGAAGGAAGAGGAAAAGATTAGATAGGTCAGGATTTCATTATAATTTCAAAACAAAATGTTGATGCATCTTAAAAGATTCAAACAAGAGTCAATTTAAGTTTAGCCAAAAATAAGTTAAAAATTTAAGATATAATTTTTAGATTAAAACAGAAAATACATTTATAGTGGACAAAAGATCAGATTAGTCACCTATTGAAAGGCATGCAGAAAATGAAGCAAAGAAATAAGTTTTACACCATATTGTATTCAAAGCATAAGTTGTGATAAAAAAACAATCCTATTTATTCTAGTAACCGAGATGGTGAGCTGACATATTTCGCCGTCGCTGACGACTCCACAGCGCACATTCAGCGCATGGTCAGCGCTCAGAGGTCCAACAAGTCCAAGAAGAAAGGCAAAGGTTATAGAGGGAAACACCTTAAGGTCAATGTAAGGAACTAAATCTTCCTATTAGTCTGATGTGTTATTGTGCCAGCTACTGATGTAGGGAAGACTTTGTAGAGGATTTCAGTCAACAGACATGCTGAAACTGTCGGTCCGATCGATCATGACTGGGAAAATTTGTCTGGACGGGAAAAAAACTGTTAGTGGTCGGTCTAAAGGACTGACAAGTGTTTTAAGAGCCACACTTTTGAATTTAGAGTCATCATTTGACATACTCCCCTAATAAAATTATATAAAACCCAAAGCGTTTTTTCCCTTCCATTTCAAACTTATCACATTCACAAACAAAGTAAGCTACCTAATCAGTACTATCTGTCTCAAACTAATAGGGTATTTTTAGGGCAGACAAAAATCCATTCAGTTCGGCAAATTTTTCATTACTGCCTGTTCAAATGTCCGGCCACTGTGTAAAGTTTTCAGCATGTTTGTGTCAAGCACTTAAAGATAAATTAAAGTGGTAGTGTTGGTAAATATGGCGATGATTGTTTATTAATTTTCTTGGTCATTTGTTTTATTATTATTTTTTTGGTCATTTAATTCTGTATATTTCCATTTATTTATTTATTTATTTATTCATTTATGGCTCCAGGTTCAGTCAAGACGGCCAGTGCCAAGTCCCTACAGGAAGACAGGAGGAGGAAGGTTTGGGCCGAAAATCCAGCGATACTCTCCCCCCAAAATGACCCTGTCCAGAACTTCCATGATTCCACACCACACAAAGCAGGTGGAGTTCAACTGTCTCATAGCATCATATGCAGAATTTTTTTTTTTTTTTTTTTTTTTACGTTTCCCAGAAATTCAAAGTTGGATCTGGAATGCTGTTGGACTATGTTTTTTTTTTTTTTTTTGTCTGTCCTGAGACAATGCATGCATAGCGCTGTTTATGTCATCAACTCTTGTGAAGATTACTTTGTGGTATTATTAATATATATAATAGTGAAATAATAGTGAAAAGTAATTGTAATGGAGATGTTATTTACTTATAGTTATTTATCTGTCTTGTATGATTAGATTTTTATTACTCGATTTATTACACCAGGACAGAAAGGGAGAAGTCTCTCATTCTTAGTTGTTAAATTGCAATTAACAAACTAGATATATTTCATTATTTCAGATGGCACCAGCAAGAAACTCCTCTTCATTTGAGGTACCACCAAGATTCCAGAAGACATCTTCCAATATGGCATCCAGTGTCCCTGCTGCCAAGAGTGCCTCGTCTTCCTCTCTGAAGGTTACGGTGCCCAATACTAAGAATGATAAAGGTATTACATGAGCTCATCCCACATCATACACTGCATTTGCTATTATATTAGATAAATGAATCTACATAAATGTTTTACCATCAAGTGATTTTAATCCCAATAAAAACAGAAATACATATCATACTCAATTGTTGATATATTTTTATCATTTATTTGGATATTTAGAAGAAGAGTGGACATCACAGTGGCCATCTTGGACTTTGTTTGTTTCCATGGTTACATGACCACTTCCACATCATCATTAACTTTTGCCAATGGATTCTGAGCATTTAAAGGGATAATAACTCTTCGTATGAAATCTGTATTTCACAATAAAAACATTGTGAATGACTCATAAAAATATAAAATATTCTGTTTTCCCACAAAAATGGCTGTTATAGCTATTATTCTGATATCTGAGCTTGTCTTTAGACCACGTGACCTCCATTGATGGCTATACTCTGTTAAAATCTCTTAAGAGATTTTAACAAAAAAACAAACTTTTTAGAAAAAAACCAGGGACTAAATTTGAATGTAAAAATGGATTCATTAACCATTGGTAAGTATGGGAAAATTGTTGTTTACTCCAGGAAAATTCATTTTTTGGCCGAAACGAAGAGTTATTATCACTTTAAGTAATGTATGATGTTGATTGGTGTTTAGAGGGAACACTAAATCTGCAAGTTTTGACCCTTTGCAATGTGGCAATATTTATTACACTTATGCTTTAGCAATTTCATTTTCTTTATAATTGTAGATCTTATCATTTTTAGCACAGCCAGCATGATGTGACAGTCATTGCGGACAGGTTTTTTTTTTTTTTTTTTCAAGGTTTTTCTTTGCCTTGACTAGTACAAGAGAGCACAATTTCTGATGGCATGTCACTGTTATGGACAGATTTTATGGCTTTTTATTTAAAATTTTTCGTTGCAGTATTCGTTAATTACAAAAGTGCTCTCTATGAATATGCTGCCAAAACCAAGAAGTCTGTTTACTACAACAAAACTGATTCAACCAAAGTTGGGTTTGTCAGCTCACTGTGTTTGGAAGGTGTGGTTTATGGGAGTGAGGGTAGGTCAAACATTCATATTTCATTCTTTAAAATTCATTATTCTGTACAATTTATGTATTAATCTATGTATTTAATAGTTTTTATTTTTGATATCCTTTTTGCTTCATTTAAATACTTAAAATAAAATAATTTTTTTTTTCCTCTTTATAATTGGTTATTTAGAATAAAAATAACAATTGGTAAACTTTTTTCGGATAAAGATGTCTTGTGACTACTGCGCCCCTTGGCATGTTCCAATAATAATGGCTGACAGTCTGTTGAAGATTGTGACCCAAAGTTCAACCAGAGTTGTTAGTAACTGATATAATTGACTCGCTTCTCATAATCAGGGGCGGATTTAGGCTGTCTTGTGGGTCTTCCGGAAGACAGTCAGATTTTCGAGTTTACATTGATGAGTATGTAATTTTTTTGTCGGAAGACGGTCAAAAATTGGTGAATCTTGATAAAACCAAGGTAATAGTTTTCAGAAATGGTGGTTACCTTAGACATAACGAGAAGTGGTTTTTTGACAGCGTGGAGTTAGAGTCTGTATCGCATTATAAGTATTTGGGTGTTATGTTTACTCCAAAGCTGTCTTGGTCCAAAGCAAAACAAACTTTAGCAACTCAAGCAAAGAAATCTATGGCAAGATGTTTCAGGTTATTTAAAAATGTGGGATCTTTGCCCCACGTCTTATTTTTTAAGATATTTGATTCAATGATAAAACCCATACTTACATATGGAGCAGAAATATGGGGTTATGAAATATCCGAATCAATAGAGAATGTTCAAGTTAAGTTTTGTAAAAGATTATTGATGGTATCGGATAATGCAAGCACACAAGCAGTTCTTGGGGAATGTGGTCGTTACCCTCTATACATAGATTATCATGTCAAATGTATTAAGTATTGGTTCAAGCTTTTATGTATGGACGACGGTAGGCTACCGAAATCATGTTACAAGTTACTGTTTGATTTAGATAGTAGTGGGAGGAAAACATGGGCGAGTGACATCAAGCATCTTTTATATTCATATGGATTTGGAGTAGTATGGGAAAACCAAGGATGTGGAAATGTGGCACTTTTTATAGAACAGTTTAGACAACGATTAATGGATATAAGCAGGCAGAATTGGTATTCCTCAGTGCGCGAATCAGGCAAGCTAAGGACCTACAGCTCATTTAAACTAGATTTGGTATTTGAGGAATACTTATCTTTTGTGTCCATAGCAGAGCATAGAAGAGCCTACTGCAAGTTCAGAATATCAAATCACAATTTACAGGTTGAGAAGGGTCGGTATGCCAGTGTAGATGGGGAAAATAGAGTATGTGCTGCATGCCTTTCTGATGGCATAACAATTATTGAGAATGAGGAACACGTGTTAATTTCATGTAGTTTATATAACGGTCTGAGGGAACGCTATATTCCCGAGATTACAACATTGTCACTAGGGACTGCTCTGTCATCACATAATGTTGACTTTATAAAAAGACTTGCTGCCTTCATATATCATGCAGAGAAATTAAGAGATGTTTTTTTAGATAAGTGATTTGTGTCGTTTATGATATATATCCCTGTGTAGTCAGCTCAGTATTATAAATAGAACTCAATTTATGTACTCTTGGCCTGCAGGCCTGAAATACAGTGAAATAAACATTAAAATATTTAGAATAAAAATAACAATTGGTAAACTTTTTTCGGATAAAGATGTCTTGTGACTACTGCGCCCCTTGGCATGTTCCAATAATAAGGGCTGACAGTCTGTTGAAGATTGTGACCCAAAGTTCAACCAGAGTTGTTAGTAACTGATATAATTGACTCGCTTCTCATAATCAGGGGCGGATTTAGGCTGTCTTGTGGGTCTTCCGGAAGACAGTCAGATTTTCGAGTTTACATTGATGAGTATGTAATTTTTTTGTCGGAAGACGGTCAAAAATTGGTGGATCAATGAAGATAATTTGGAAGCCTGTCAGAAAATATCTCTGGATCCACCCCTGATAATGTTGAATTTGATAAATGATAAAAGATCTTCAGTGCAGAAGGCATTTCTAGTAATGGGAGTTACATGTACTATATAAAAAAGACAGATTTTTACTTTCTTTGTAATATCCCCCCCCCCCCCCCTCAGATGGGTACAAGAGTATGAAGGAAGCAGAACAAGCCGCTGCAATGAATGCTTGCCATGCTCTAGGCATAAAAGGTAAGTTGTTTTCTGAGCATTGTCTCAGTAAAGTGAAGATTGGGACCTAACAGAAGCTGTGTTGGTTATAGTGTTTGCTAAATGTTGAAAGATAAGGCTGTGTTCAGATTAAAGGGATAATAACTTTTCGTTTTGGCCAAAAAATGGATTTTTCACTGAGTAAACAACAATTTTCCCATGCTTACCAATGTTAATGAATCCATTTTTACATTCAAAGTTAGTCCCTGTTTTTTTTCTAAAAAGTTTGGTGTTTTGTTAAAATCTCTTAAGAGATTTTAACAGAGTATAGCCATCAATGGAGGTCGAGTGGTTTAAAGACAAGCTCAGATATCAGAATAATAGCTGTAACTGCTGTTTTTGTTGTAAAACAGAATATATTTTATTTCTATGAGTTATTCACAATGTTTTTATTGTGAAATATAAACCTCATACGAAGAGTTATTATCCCTTTAAACTTTATCAATCTAGCTTGACCGATCTATCTCAGAGGGGATTCTTCCTAAGGCGCAGAGTCAATGTACTAAGCTGAATATCCTGGCATAACTTACAATATGAACACAGACTTAGAAAAAATATTAGGTGTGCAACAAAAAAACCTTTGTTGAAAATAGAGTTGTAGATGTTACAGTACTAAACTTTTAAATATGAAATATATATTATATACATATAATTGATATTGCATCTTATCCAGTTTGAAACCTCCAACAATGTAATTTTTGGGGGGAAGGGGAGAGGGGGGAGGCATTCAGTAGCCATTTAAATGTTTTGCTTTTTTTTTTTTCAATTCCAGTTGCAGGCTCTCCCAGTCCCCCCAGAGTTGTCAGTGTAAGTGGCACAGAAGGTAAAAGTGCTGTTAGTGAAGAAATCCTGAAGTCCAGAGTGAGACAGGTGAGAATCATGATAAGAAAGATACTAAATATATACATGTATAAAAAAAAAACTAAGCAATTTTGTTTTAACCAAGACTACTTTAGTTTTTTTTTAAATGCTACTTATAATGGCAGTTTTTGTCAGTCTGGATTTCAATGTGTATTTGTGTTTACTTTAATTTACAAGAAAAAAGGGATAAACAAAATCATCAAAAAATCATCACAAGAGAAAATCAAAAAGAAATAATAATCATTATTAAAGACACTATTTTAATTAAAAGTCCCATTAAGTTATAAAAGGATAAATATAAGGAAAAAATTAATTGATTTTGGAGATTTCTAGTGGGGTTTGTATGGTTAATGATAATATATATATGTGACTACAAGAGGAGAAAGACATGCCCTGACACAAGTCTGCTTAGGGGGGAATTCAGCAATGATGAAGGAGTAAAGAGATATTCAAAAAAATTCATTATATTTATCCAAAAGGTAATCCACACAGTATGATTTTGCTCACAATCACCGATTAGAAGAAATATTTAAAAGATATAAATATCACCTTTAATTAATTTAGTTAATTCTGTTATTCGGTAGTTCACTGCACAACTTTTTAATCTCTCGGTAAACCTTTTCATTACATTCCCTACAGGAAAAATCAAACATGGCCGTGTTTCCCATGTGTCTATAGCAACGCTTGCTAGGGGTTTCCCAAAGCATTTTCACGGTCTGTAACTTTGACTGAATCCTGTCTCTCTCCCTGGAAACTTTATTACATTCCTTTTCCATTGCCACTTCTTTTTCCTTGATGTAACTGGCATAGTCTCTCATGGTGTTGATTTTAGATTTGTATATCGTGTTCAGAGTTCTTGGTTCTAGTTGTTGAAATTCATCACATTTTTCCAAGTCTTCGAGGGTAAGCCTGGTGGCTCCCTCTATGCACTTTGTGTACAGCTTATCGAGGCAGTATCTTTGAGCAAGAAGGAGGCTTTCCAAGTCAGTGTTCCCAGACAGGAGGAAGACTTCACAGCGTTGCTTGATTTTTTCGATCTGGTACTCCTCTGCCAGTTCCAGTAGAAAGTGGACATTTTCCTCTAAAAAGAAAGCGTTTAATATAAGAAATGCTTTATCTTGAGATTCGTGGCTTAGTATTTAAATTTGTTGCTGATATTGTAAAATAAATTTGTATTTGAAATTTTATACATAGAAGGAACTCATGTGTGCATAGAACATTGAAAGTCAGAAGAAAGGAGAGAGTGAAATGACTAAGCAGAGAGAGAAATAGAGAGAGAGAAACAACCCAGTAAGTTCCATGTTGAAACAAAAGACATTAAATAGTTAATAGTCACACCAGTTGGCACCCACCATTGATTGCTTTCTGACTGGGATATATACAATGTAACAGTTCAACCATCTGCTCCAGTTCTTTCCCTGGAAGCTCGATCTCTTGGGCTGATTTTTCGCGAAAGTTTGCAACAAACATGGCTCTCCATACAGGGGACCACTCCGCCAGGTAAACCTTGTGTACGTAAAGTGGCTCCCCCTGGACTATCAGGGTGACGTCACTGAGCTCATCTCTCTGAGTGAAATCCCGCAGATTATTCCCCTGCTGGAGTTGGGCCTTCTTTGTTGCCATGGTGATGGACTGTTGCCTTGGTGATTGAACTATGTTGTTGTCATGGTTAATTGCTTTGTTGTCATGTGGTCAACATTCAGTGTGCTATTCAAAAGTGTGGAGTTTTTTATGCAGTTGAATGTTTTTCCTTTTATTGACTAGTTTGTAGGAAAAAAAAAAGCTTTTATATTTTGCCCAAGGGTTAAGCAATTAATTCTGTTTTCTAGTATTTTCTGATCAGCTGCCAATTTGTCATTGGACAATGTGCTCTGTCAATGCCTGGCCTAGATCCCTGTGAAGTGTGTTTCTTCAGCCAAAAGTTTCTGCTCTCACGGGCTGAAATCACAAAAATAAACACCAATTAGACTGAAACAACAATGTTTTCCACTTCAGCACCAGTAGCTGTAGCATCAGATTATTACCTGAGGCTGGAATGTGAAGGAATCCACTTCTGTATTCTTGGGGAAAACATTGCTGGTTACAAAATTGATAGAAAAAAATGTGCACTGGATCTTTGCTGTCAAGCACATTTTCAAAATCTGTACATGTATGTACTTGTAGTACAAAGTGTAGCGTACAGAAAAGGAAAATGCACTTAAAACTTCTGTTGCACTCCCACTAGAATAAATATTTGGCTTTAAAATGTCACAAAACCTGTCAAATGAAATTAATTTTAGGTAGGGAACTATTCTCTTTTAAGTTTGAAGTAACAGAAATGCATACACCCTGTCGCACTGGTATGTCATAAGATATTGGGGACTGCAGGAGGGAAATGTGTTAATAAATCAGGGATGAGCTATTTCCAACTTTTGGGAGATTTTCTAATATTTGGGAGCCAAACAAATCAATTTTGACATCGATGCAGATCTGCAATATAAACTGAGGGAGGGGGGAGAGGAGTAGGACCCAACTAAATGGCAGTCTCATCCCTGATAGATTTTTTAATTAAAAAATAAAAACACTCCTATTAATGATACCACCCCCTGTTAATGGAATCTTACATGACCAGTGATATTCACCCTACTAGTGTAATGGCTTTGCACAGTCATCGAATGTTTTTATGTACAGACACAGATGTGTCTGTACATATTGCCATCACCTGCGTCTGTCGTCGCCGATGGCGATGCCGTCGCCGTGCACTTTCCTTGTAAACACGATAAGTGGAAGGCAGTTTTCCTATTTGGCTTTATATTTACAGAGCTGATGAATATTCATAAAACGCAGGTCAAGTTCGAAAATCAGCATGATCGGGCCATTATTGTAGAAGTTATGCTGTTTTTTCACTTTTCAGCATATATGCAACCTTGTAAACACATTTTAAGGAAAACCGTTAGGCCTGTTGTCACGAAACTCACAGGAGTAATCAATCTTACTAAAACGCAGGTCAAGTAAGAAAATCAGCATGATCGGGCCACTATTTTTTCATTGTTCAGCATATATGCAACACTGTAAACACAATATAAGAAAAACAGAAAGCCCAATTGTCATTAAACTCACAGGAATGGTCAGTCTTACTAAAACGCAGGTTGAGTTCAAAAATCAGGATAATCGGGGCATTATTTTAGAAGTTATGCTGTTTTTTCACATTTCCTCAGATTTCCTCAGATTTAATTCTTAGGCATGTTAATAGCCTTATTATTTAAGTAATAAGATACGTAAAAGTGTTTGTTTGACATTTCCTGCATCTTTACAACATTGTTAGTTGATTATGTAAAAATGATGGTAAACCTGTTATCTTGTATTGTGTAATAAAGTGTCAAAAATGGAAATAAACTCATATCATTGCAGTTTGTCAGATTCAATCATTCACTATGTTCAGAATCTCAGAATGGAAGAAATTGGACATTTAACACTGTTCTATTGATATTTTTCACATCTCATCAATTTTCTTAGTTGATCATATAAAAACGGCAGAAAACTGTTAATTTTGTTTCATGTTGAAAATTGTTAAAAATGGGGAAAAAAAAACATTTCAGAACAGTGCTGTCTCGTTTACATTTTGGCATTTTCAAGTTGTGACTTTGAAGTTCCATGAGCCTGAAGACCTTTGCTAGTCACATTTTCTGAATATCCATTAAAGTTGATGGTCATTATGCTGTTAAACATTATGTAATATTGCATCAAAATTTGAAAAAAAATTTATTTTGGGCACTGCTCCCATGATGATCATTTAAGAAAAACCATGTCATTTACTGTTCTCAAACTTACAGGAAAGAAACATGGGACTAAAATACAGCTTCAGTAGGAAATACAGTCTGTTTGGTAATTCTTACTGCCAGTTAAACAGTTATTTTGTGAAAATTTAATTTTTCACATATTGGCATTTTCAAGGTGTGACTTTGAAGTTCCACGGGCTTGAAGACCCATGCTAGTCAC